TGAGAAATTCAAACTTCACTGGAAGTGGTAAAATATATTAAAACCTCCAACAAAAGGCCGTCCCTGGAGCCTTTTCTCTTCCTTGTTCTTCCCTTGTGTAGCCAAAGGCTGCAGCTGATCCAGGAAGGCCCAGAATGAAAATGATTTTGTTCCTAGGGATTGTACTGGAGGCAGAGCAGAGCTGAGGGAACAGAACAGAGCTGGACGAAGAATGGCAATGATGGGGCACTCAGCTGTGGGATGAGGGCAGGAGAAGGGAATTGTCTCCGTCTTGACTCCTGAGATCCCTCCCGTGGTTTTGCAGGTCTCCTGGCAAGGGATGGTGGGAACACCATCCAATGGAAGAGCCAAGACTGGGCCTGAGAGCATGGAAGAGGAAAGCAGGGACTGCAGCAGATGAGATACTCTGAGCCTGCTCCTGCAGAAACTGCAATGGGTCTGGAATGAAAAAATGAAGCTTTTGAAGTGGAAAATGGGGAAAACCCCCAGCCTGGCATGGCTTCAGAGCAAGGTGGGCACTGGTGAAACCATGTGGGGATTATTGACAGGGAAGCAGACTCTTCCAAGATAATGAGGAAAGGCTGGGAGAATTGGGATTGTTCAGCATGGAGAAGAAAAGCTTGAGGTGACCTCATTGTGGCCTTCCAGGAACTGAAGGAGATGACAAGCAACATGGAGAGAGACTCTTTCCAAGGGTTGGAGTGACTGAGCAAGGAGGACTGACTTTCCACTCCCAAAGGACAAGGTTAGATGGCTTATTGGGAAGAAATTCCTCTCTGTGAGGGTGCTGAGGCCCTGGCACAGGGTGTGCAGTGCAGCTGTGGCTGCCCCTGGATCTTTGGAAGTGTCCAAGGCCAGGTTGGACAGGGCTTGGACCGGCCTGGGACAGTGCAAGGTGTCCCTGCCCATGGCAGGTGGTGGGACTGGATGAGCTTTAAATTCCCTTCCAACCCAAACCCTCCTGGGATTCTGTGAACATTCCCAAGCTCATGGATCATCCTCTGGGAATGATGATCCTCACTGGGCAGCCATGACCACCCCTGCTCCTGCTCAGTGCTCCCAGCTCTCCATTTTTAGGGACAGCTGGGTGTATCCAACATAGAGCAGCCACCAGTCTGGGACTCCCAGCAGACACTGGCCTTTGGTTTCTCTACCTGATGCAGGAAGGAACCTTAGCTTCTCCTCTGGGGGCATCACCTTTCCTGCTGAAAATCACAGCAGGACTTCATTTGTAGCATCTCAGACAGACAAAAAGAGTATTTTCCTTCAGCTTCAACACTGCCCCTGGAAGGAGCTCAGGGTCTGGCACAGCCTCATCCCTCCCTCTGGAAGTCTCTCTATAGCTCTGTTTTGCCATCCCACAGATCCCAGTCTGGCTTTGCTGTGCTCTGTGTGTTCCTGTGTCATCAGCACTCCGGTGGTTTGACCCTGCATCCCTTGGTCTCATCCCCATGGGAAGGACAGATGTAGGCAGAGGAGAAGCATGGGATCCAAAAGCCCACAGAACTGCAGGATTTTCCCTGTGCTCTGGACAAATATTGACACTGGGGCTGGCTTCAGCAGCCTGCTCCCCTCATGGATGCTCCAACACGGAACACAAGCAGGGACAAACCAGAGCAATTACTCCCCACGTTCCAAATCACCCCATTTCCCTCCCCCTGCTATTGATTTTGGAAACACTGCTTGAAAAGAGAAAAGGCAAAAAAACACCCCCTTCATGGCCTGTGATACCTAAATGGAAATTTAATCCCTGCTCCATCCACCATCCCCTGGCTGCATTTGTTTTCCAGGCACATTTGGATTGTTTTGCTTACTGCTGACTGTGTTTATGATTATTTTAATAGAGAGCATTGCACGATACATTTTGTATGAAGGTCACTGCTTCCATATTCTCCACTGGAGCCACACGGGTTCCTAATGAATTCACACCACCTCTTGCAGGGCTCTCTCCATTTCCAACGGGGCTCCTGCTGCAATCCCACATTAGCCATGTGCTGGACACATCCCACTCTCTGCTGTTGGGTTTAACAGAGTGGGAAGGGCACTGGGAAGTTGCTGATGCCAATCATTTCAGCCAGCCAGGGGTTAATGCACTGCCCATAAACACGGCCAGCAGCCCACAACAGGATAAATGGAAGTTTAGGAATCCTTATGCATGCCCCAGGCATTTCCCTCATTTTGGTGCCAAGCTCAGAATGAGCTCCGAGGCAGCTGAGAATCTGCCTTTCCAAAGTGTCCATTTCTGCCCAAGTATTGCCCCCAGCCTGCTGGAATCATTGATATTTGCAGTTCTGGTGTGCTGAGCCCCGAGCTCCATTTGGAGCGCTCCAGGAATCCCTGATGCTCCCCACGTTCCCTCCCTCCCTGGAACAGCCTTCTCCCTGCTCCATATTCATGAGACAAGGCTTGTTTTGTCTTCCTGACCGGTCCCAGTGAGGAATTCTGGAAGGAATTCTGCTTGGCAGAAATATTCTGGCCCTGTATTGAGAATAAGGGGTGACGTCCGCTTGCATTCACTGGACAAGGTGAGATCCATTGGACAGCAGGACTTTCCCAGTTGTGAGAATCAGGATTGGTAAATAAAGAATTCAGCCTGCCTCCAGGGCAGTTTTAGTGCATTTGGGGAGGACCTGGACCAAGCAGGGAGAGGGAGAAAGGCTGTACCAGCATCATCAGCACCCTAGGCCTTGGCAGATTAGAGATGCTTGGAGAAGGATCTGTTCCAGTGTGGGTTGAGAGCAGAGCCAGGCAGCATTCCCCACAAACTCCAGCTCAGGGGTTTTGCTGTCTATGTGTAGAATCATGGAATCATTAATGTTGGAAAAGCACTCCAAGGTTGAGTCCAACCATTCCCCCAGCACTGACCCTTGTCCCCAAGTGCCACATTCACGTCCTATAAATCCCTACATGGACATGACTCCCCCAGAGCCTTGGGCAGCCGCTCCAGTGTCTGACCACCCTTTTAGTGCAGAAATTTTCCCTAATATCCAACCTCAACCAGAGGTGGAGCAACTGGAGGCCCTAGTTTCTCTGTATTCATGGATTTTTCTCCCTGATCCAAGTGGACTCACCATATCCTTTGTCACCAACAGCATCCAGGGAATGGGTGAAACCCATCTCCTCATGTTTGCCTGAACAACTCATGTCCTTTCTGATCCTCTTGTTCTTGTACAGGAAGAAAGGATTATCCAGGGATACAATGGATTTGCAGCCCAGGTTGCTGTAGGAAGCTCTGCTTCAGTTTTCCTGCTCCTTGCTGCAGGTACAGGATGGGAAGGGTCCCAGTGGCCTCACTGGTGTGTTCAGGTGTGCTCATCTCTGAGCCCTGCTTGGAACAGCTGGATCCAAGCTGCCTTTGGACACTTTGGAATGCTTTCAAATCCGTCTTTCTCCATGGGAAGTGGCCATTGAAGAGCTCTGGGCTTGGTTCCCATCTCCTGGTTGTGATTAAATGCTCAGCAGCTCAGCCTTGGCAGAGGGAGGGATCCCTCCAGCTCTCCCCCCAGCGAGGTTTGGGCTGGGATGGTCTGGGATTCATTAGCACGAGGCAAAAAAAATCACAGATAATAAAAACAACACAGCCCCTAATGATCTTTTTTATGCAGTCTGGCTTCTATTCCAACAAAACACAGGCAGAACCCTCTTTCCAAGAGTTCCTGGAGAACAGACAGACGCAAATGCCTGACTCCAGTGTGCTTTCATCTCCCACCGTCAGGAGACACCACATTTATCTCTGCCTTCATCATCTTTTATTCCCACCACCTGCTGGGAGCTGGAGCTGTACCTGGATGGAAATTTTGCCTGTTTAGTGATCTTTGCCTCTTCTGCTGCTGTGTCCCAGAGCTCTGGGAGTGTTCCATGGGTCATTTTCTCCAGGAAGTGTTTTCTCATTTAAACACTCAGCCATGCAGCCTCTGGAATGTCTGTGGGCATTACAAACAAAGGGAAAAGGATCTGGAAAAACAAACCCCCATCTACCTCAACCATCCAAGAGTTTGTTCTTATTTACAAGGCAGTTTTGAAGGTTGGCAGGAAGCAGTGGTCCTCCCCTGTCCCAAGGAGATGGACATAGCTCCGACCTGGAAGGAGAAGCAATTCCAAGGACTATCCACAAATTCTGGCTGCCTAAACTGGTAATTCCTAATTTCCTTGGTGAATAGGTCAGCACTTTGAAAATATATCTGGTGCATGGCCCTACTCCATCATATCTGGGCAGGGTGGGAGAAGTAGAGCCCAGCACTGATGACCAGAGAGGCCCCTCCTGCTTTTGGAATCCCACCCAGGAAGCAGAAGAGGCCTCAGTTGTCAGCCCTGCCTGAGCCTCAGCATCTCACCCTCCTCTAGAATGAAATAATAAACTGTCCAGGCTTCCTCAGCCTTCATGAGCTCCCTGGAATTTAACCCTTCACACCCAGGCTGGAAGGTGAAGCCTGGTGCTGAGGATAGACCTATTGCAGCTCTGAGACTTGGGGGACAAAGGGATCCAACTCCAGCAGCACAGGCTGTAAATCAGTGCAGACTTTGGGCAAGCAGCAAACAGGGCTGTGGACACTCCTGAAAGTGTACCAGACCATTCCCCACCCCTTTCCACAGGCAGAGCTGGGATCTGTAGCTGGAAGTCACAGAGTGGAGACATCAAGGTTCACCCTTGGTGTGCTCCAGCTCCTCCTAAACTCCTCACCTCCCAAAATCATGTGTAGTGCTTGGTGTGCTTGGGCAGGACTGGGGAGCATCTCCTGGGTGGTGTGGCAGATTTGGATCATTGCTGCTTCAAGGCCTAAATGAAGTAGGGAACAGGAACAAGAAATCTGCTCCCAAAGCATCCAGGTGTAGGGGGATACAATATCAGTAAATAAAGGTAGTGTAGAAAGTAATTGTACCCCCTAAAGAGTTGCAGCTGAGCCAATTATTAAAGATTGGGATCAGGCCTGATGTTAACAGGCCACAGCTGTAGCCAATAAGAAGAGTGTTATAAAAGAGTGGATTGGTTTGTTGAGGGGACTGGAGTCAGTTGGCTGCTGTGAGGACAAGGAAGAGTCAGTGCTTAGAGGAGATGCCCACAAGGAACATCAAGGAGGTATGAAACTCTACAAATATGGAACCCTTGCAATGTACTGACAATAGAACTCTTGCAATATTATGACAAAATCCGGATCTGGAAAATCCCTCCATGGCCTGAAGCTTAAGGAACCCAACTCAGCTCCAGGTGAAAGGAGGCATTCATTAAATTGGGCAGGAACAGGGTGCTTGTTCAGAGCTTTTCTCTTCCCTGCCATTCATTAAAATAGATGTTGATAACATCCTTCTCTCTTCTGTCCTTGGCTGTAATATTCTGTGTTTAGGGTGGAAATACTTGCCATCATTCACATTTTGGCTTGATGTAGATATCTGACTGACCTTTAGCAGCCTGTGATATATAGAAAAGCTGATTACATGTTCCTTGATTTCATAGGAGGGATCAATATAAACAAGATTAGCAAAAAAGTAGAGTTTCATTCATTTTAAACATTGATAATGGTTTCTTTGAGAAACTCAGACCTCCAGTGCTCAGAACAAGGATTTGAAAGCTGGCAGGGAGTCACAAACGTGGCTTCTGACACTGCTGGAAAACTTCTGCCCAGACTTGTCCAATCCATAACCTCTGAGGATCTTCCTGTGCATGGGCTGGACAGAAGGAGCTGAGACCCCTGAAAGCCCCAGAGAGGCAGGATCTGCTCTTGCAGCCCTGGCTGGAAGTTGTTTTAAGCCTCTCCATGGCACTGCGTTCCTTGCAATGTTCTTCCTATGCCTGGTTTCCAGCAGTAGTGCTTCCCATGAAAACTCAGGTCTGGGGGGTAGAAGGCTCCTTGCCAAGCTCTGGAGGAAGTGCCAGCCCAGCTGAAGGGCTGGGGAGCAAAGGAGGAATGGCTCTGAGAGGCTGGGTTTGTCCTCCACCTCTGGATCCCATGGGTCTGCTTGGACTGGGGATTCCAAGCCTGGGGCAGGGATTTGCATCTGAGTTTGTCACGCAATTGTCCCCATCTGAGCCAGTCCAGTGCTGTGTCTGAGCACACAGGTCCAGCTCAGCCTTCCTGCTGCAGGTAGGACCGGGAGAGAGGTTGCTTTCCCTCTGGGAATGCTCTGCCAGCTGGCAGTGCAATTGTTTGCTGTCTCCTGCAGGCTGATGCAGCCTGAGGGATCACATGCTGCATTATGAACACATCCCAGTTCATCTCCTGCAGGAAACCCACTCCCCCAGGTCCCCTCCTGAGGCAGATTGAAATGAGACTTCCTTCCCAGCCTGAGGAGGCTGAGCCAAAGCAGCTCCAGGAGAAGGGCCCAGCCAGGCTGTGATGCTGCAAGGGCCTCTTGATGCTGCTGGAATCAGCGGCAGCCCCCTCTGTGAGGATAAAAATGCTGCTCCAGCCCCTTCTGCGTGCCTACAGCCACAGAGGAGAGGGCAGGGCAGGAATCTGCAGCAGGGATGATTATCCTTCTGCTGGGGAGAGCAGCTGTGCTCCCACCACCAGCTACGCTTGCTCCTGCTTCCACAGAAAAACAATTCCCCATTGGGTTGGTTTCCCTGGAATATTAATGTATTTCTTCTGTGTCCCCAGGATTCCAGAGTTTGTGGATGCACCTGCAAACACCTGAGGGGCTGCTCTGACTTGCTGGTGGTTCATGGATGGCTCCAGGGCTGAGCTCAGTCCTCCTCCATCCCTGATAATGGCTGAGGAGGTAAATCCATGGAGTGGGAGCCTCTCCTTGCTCCTGCTTCTTCCCACCAGCTGCTGTGAGGAGTGGAGAGCAGAAAACTGGTCAGTAAAATGGTATTTTACAGCCAGAAGTGAATCCTCAGAAAACCCTTTCCTTAGGAGTCAGGGAATGTCACCACCACAGGTCTGGTCCTCTCCTTATCCACCCTATCCAGGTGTCCTGGGCTGGGAGCAAGCACACAGAGCTTTCACAGCTGATTTGAATAGATTTGATGCCTGATTTGGACACATCTGATATGCCTCAGAAGAGCATTTCCAAGCAGCTATTCACAAATCAAATCTATGCTCCTGATGCACAAATCTCTCATGCTTATTAAGGAAGCGCTTTTATTCCTAACAGGTAGAAAACAAAAGCAGAGAAATGAGGCATTTGGAGATGTTTTCCCTGAAAGAGCTTTTAATCCAGACTGGAGAGAAATGCATCCTGCTTTGAAAATAAGGGGAAACACATTAAAGACTTGAACAAACTGTTTTGATTTAATGCTAATTAGTAAAAGGCATGAAGGAAAACATTGACTTGGAGTCAGAACTAACTGATTTCTAAGTCTGGTATCACTCTCAATTTCTGTTTGTCTCATGCTGGTTATTACAGCAGGAAGAAGACCCACTCAGATCTAGAATAGTTGTATTTTCAGATATAGAATAGTTATATTTTCAGGCTGTCCCTAGTAATGGAGAGATTTATTATCCCTGATAGGAGCCTTTACCAGGTGGAGCAGCCTCTCTCAGCCGGGATTGACAATTTTCCCCTTTAGTTCCCCCATTTCTCCGAGGTCTCCATGCCACTGCACCCCTCTCTTTGCATTTTCCCCCCAGAAGTGTAAGGAAAGCTCCAGCCTGGTTCCAGGCTGCAGAATGAGAGCAGGATGGGAGCTGGGAGTGACAACCTGCAAAGGAATTTCTGGTGAGAGTAAGAGGATTGTCTTTCATCTAATAAAGATTAAAAGGTGCTGATCTGGCCCCAAAACAGCAGAGTGCTCTTCCTGGAGCAGCTCCTCCTTCACATTTGTCAAACAGACTGGAGGAGGCAGCAGGTCAGGGCTCTGTGACCTGAGGGGACTCTGAGGAGCATTGCAGAGGGCAGGGAGGTGCTGGCACTCCCAAATCCATAGGGAATGCCCAGCTTGTGCAGTTATTTCTGGGAAAAGAGGTGCCACAAACCCTGGCAGCACCACATGGTGCTCTGCTATCCCATCATGTCTTGGAAAATCTCCAGAGCTTCAGAGAAATGTGGAATCACAGAATGCTTTGGGTTGCAAGGTTAAAGATGAATCAGTCCCACCCCCTGCCATGGGCAGGGACACCTTCCACTATCCCAGGTTGCTCCAAACCCTGACCAACCTGGCCTTGGACACTTCCAGGGATGCAGGGGCAGCCACAGCTGCTCTGGGCACTCTGTGCCAGGGCCTCCCTACCCTCCCAAGAAGGATTTTTTCCTGATATTCCACCTAACCCTGCTCTCCTTCAGTTTGAAGCCATTCCCTCTTATCCTATCGCTACAATACCTGGTGGAAATTTTAAAATTCTGCAATTCTGACCCAAGCCTGGTCCCTGGGGTTGATGGAGCAGCTCCAGCTCTGCCTGCCCAGCACAGGGAGCTTTAGCTTGGTTTTTCCGCCCTCTAGGGACAAAGAATTCAGATCTCCCTATGAATCCTTCCCTGTCACTCACCTGGAAAGTCTGGCATCATCCTTATGGCATCCCTGGCTGGTTCCATCCTCTGTGAGTGTAACTAAACTTGCCAAATCCTCTCTGCTCCTGCTTTAGGGCCTGCACGTGCTGTTTTGCCTGGAGGTACAGAGCACAGGATCAGCTGAAATCAGTGTTTGGAGGCAGTGCTGGGCTCTTTCCATGAAAGCTCCTTGTTGCCATGAAACCCCACATTTTGGGTTGTTAGGAGTGCAAATATGGGAGTAGACTCCTATTTCATATCCCATACTTCAGCTGGAACGATTTGCTATAATTTCAATTAAATCCATTAAAAGAAAATCCATGCCAGTTGTATTTCATTACAAAACATCACTAATGAGAGTAGAAGGATACAGAAAATCAAAATCTACCATTCTATCCTCAGGAATGACAAATCCAACAAATGGCAGGGGCAGGCTGGATGATCCTTAAGGTCCCTTCCAACATAAACCATCTGAGGATTTCGTGACGTTTATCAATAATTTTTTAAATAATGAATTTTATCAATAACTTGGGGCAGATTGTGCAGACTCCTGGAAGTCCCAGGTTTTTGGGTTTTTTTGGGGAATATTCATGCCAAACACCCAAAAGTTATTTGTAGAATTTTAAAAGTGTATAAAATATCAGGATTGTCCACTGAGGATGGCAGAGTGTTTAGTTAGAAGAAGTTCATAATCTCCTTGCACCCCCATTTTGGTCTCTCACCTGGGTTCCTTAGACAATCACCTCCTTCAGCCCACTGCCAACATCATCTTCCTCTCCCCTGAAGGACCCTCAAGGTCCCACCTCTCCCCAGTTTCAAGGAGGCTTGCTCAGGTTTTTTACTAAATCTGAACATTCCCAAGCCTTGTTCCCATTATTTGCTGCATATTCTGGCCCAGATCCCAGAACTGGTCATTTTTTTCCTGCAGTGCTCTGTGGACAAGGGTTGGTGGAGTTATCCCTTCAATCCTGACCCAGTTTTGAAGGATCAGGGGTTGGGAATGAGGCAGAGCTGGAAATTACCCCAGTTTTGAGCTGGTCTGGGGTGTTCTGCAGCAGAAGAGGACCTGGGGTGGTGGTTCTAGCTGCCCATGGAGATGGATGGGGTCATTTGGAGGAGCATCCACCTCAGGGCTGCTGGAAGTCACCTGATGGGACCTTGTGATGTCTCTGTGTTATCTTCTAATCCTGTGTGTCCATCCTAGATAGATTCAGATACCTCCAACAGCACTGGGACACCTGGTTTAGGGTGGGATGTCATGGAATGGTTATGGCTGGGAGGGACCTTAAAGGCCAACTCACTCCAACCCCTGCCATGGGCAAGGACACCTTCCACTAGAGGATTTGGAAGGTCAGAGGAGTTCTTCCATGTGCTATTTCCACACATGGAAAGACATGGAAAACTGAATATCCAGAGATATTCACAGCAGGCTTTAACTGGAAGAGCTCCTGTCTCACCTCCTGAGGCATTGCTGGAGAACTTTTTCTCCAGGCTGCCCTTTCCTTGCCCACCTTCCTGAAAGAATTCTGGCTCCACACACTCCTGAGTCATTGCAATCCAGGCAGAGCCATTTCCCAGGATGGGATGGGGAGGAGGGATGGGCTGGGTGCTGCAGTGTTTGTGCCATGGCTGGGAGCCAAAGGCAATTAGCAGCCAACATGAATCTCTGCTGCTGGCCACTCAGCCATGTGCAAATGGCACTTCTTGTCCTGTGGGTTAAGGAATGGCAGTTTAGGCTGTCAAGCTGTGCTCAAGTTTGCTGATTGAAGGGGTTTGGGGCCGTGCTATTACAAAAACGATGTTTGGAAAAAGTGCTCTTAATCCCTGTTTTATGAGGCACGGGCTGGAGAGAGGCGAGGCCGTTTCTTCCTGGAGAAGTAGCAGAATCAGCAGCCAGCAACAGGAACGCATTTGTCCCCTCCAGACTGAGCAAAGTCAAAGTGGAAACTACAAACAAAGGTGTTTATGAACTTCTGAGGGCTCCTGTGAGTGATCTTAGGCTTCCACCAGGGCTGGAATAGCAGCTCAGTGGGGGTTTGTTTTCCCTCCTGCTGCAGCCCCATTTCCTTCCCTCTCAGTCTTCCTTTCTCCCCCTTTTTAAGCCAGGGATGTGGTTTTGTGCTGTCATTTGTCAAGGTTGCTGGCTGTTGGAGACACCATGTCCTGTGGTGAGGGGCAGAGAAGGGGCCAAGGATCAAATATATCTGTACCCCCAAAACTGTGTGCATGAACCTGCCTTTAATTGTGATGGGGAGAAGTTTTCTGCTAGGCCTTTTGCTTGTTTAAGGGACTCTGGCCCATATCTCACTCTTAAAGTGTTCCTAAACCACTCACACTCCACGTGACCCATGGGCCTCAGCGCTGTGGGATGAGGGATTGGGCTGGACCCATTAAATTAACCCTGGGCAGGGCTTCAGCTACAGGAGATTTTCTTTGGCTCTCAGAAGAAGCTGCACTTGTGCTCTTTGTGCTTACAAAGGACTCTGTGCATGATTATGAGGTCTTCATCCCCTCCTTCTGCTCTCTGCAGGCCTTGGACCTGTTGCTTTCCGCTTTTGGGTCTTTTGTTCTCCAGGCCCAGCATCCATCCACCCAAACTCCTGTAACTCTCTGGATTTCACAGAAATAAAACTTATGGGATGTGTCTTTCTCATCTCTGCCAGTTTTAACCTCAGCTGCTGGAAGAAAAGAGTTTCCAAAATACCAAACCTCCTAAAACACTCAGGTAGAAGAGAGAAAGAGACGCTTTAGTAATATCCCCATGGAGAGGGGGAAGTCAAGTTTGCAGGTCATTCACCCCTCGTCTCCTCCACCTAAAGCAGTGCCCATCATTCAGGCATGGCTGAGAGGCACCAAAAAAAGTCACTTTGGAAAGAAACCCATTTTTTCCCCAAGCCATGATGATGCACAAGAGGCAAATACATCCCCAAATGCCCGGGAAAAGCAGCGTGGGAAATCAGCCAGTGGGAAAGCAGGGAAAAAAAATGGGCCCAGGAAATCAAACCTTTTGAAGCTTGGGGATTCTTTTTCAAGCTCCCTCCTAATTTTCTCCAGTCTTTAGAGCACGGTAATGAGCGGCAGGGAGAAATTAATCACCACCTTGGGACGCAGATAGGCCGAGGAAGAGGAGTCATTTGAGCTGGGCCTACCCCCTAAAGGTTAATTCCTACGTGTTACCTTGCTTTAATTGTTTTCCTCAGTCTGCTGATGGATCTGCCTCACTGAAGGACATAAAACACTTCCTTCCTTCCAGGAACAAAAGCTGTTAAGAGCAGAGGTGAGGAATGAAGATGTGGCTTGGCTTTCATGGCTCCCATAAAGCTTTTTTAGCACAGGGTGGGGAATTCCAGCAGCACCCCAAAGGGCCGGCAGCAAACATCAAGATGTGAGGAAATAAAGTGAGGAAAGACACCTGACTCTGGCTTCTTCTCCTCAGCCCTGGCTCCAGAGCTGGGTTTGGGGTTATTTAAAAAAAAAAAAAAAAAAAAAACAAAAAAAACAAACAAAACAAAAACCCTGGGTTTGGGTTCATTTCTGCCCTGTTTGGGGGGCTGTGATGGGCTGGGGGTGCCCAGGAGGAAGGAGAACACTGAAGAGTTCCCATTTGGGGCTTTGGGCACTTCCACAAGCTTCTATTCAAGATTTTCACGACAAAAATACAATGATTTAAAGGAAAGGGAAAATCAAAACGAAACTGAGAGCAAAATCAACCCCAAATGTTTTTACCTCATGGAAATGAAACATTTTGATACTGTCAAAACAAACCGAGAGAGTTGAAACAATCTGTTTTGATACTTCCCAGTCGAAATCAACACGTTTCCTTCAAAATGTTTTGATTTCAGTCCGACTACATTTTCCTACGGGGGAAGAATCTCCACAATATTCGCCTGAGACGCTTCCTCCTGGATCTGGTGCTGGATTTACCACAAAAAAGCTCAGAGCAGGTCTGGAGGGAGGAGTAGGGATGAAGGTATTGTCAGACTGGATGTTGAAAATGCATCCATTATGTCTGTATCATGAGGGAAAAGGAGGAAGAGGCAACCAGAATGTTCCAAAAGGCTCAGTGACCCTTGGGAAAACAGGATGATGGTGGTGGCATCTCAGCCCCTTTGACCTTCCCATAGGAAGAGTCCTGCAGAAGGCAGAGCTGCTGAGCTCTGTGCAGGGACAGCAGGACGAGGGGAAGGATGGTTAACAGGCATCAGAGCAGGAATTTGCAGAGGTAAATTGCTTCAAATGTAGAAAAAAGAGAAGAAGGAATCAGAGCAATTTGTCACCAAAGTGTTTTTGATCTTATGGAAAGACAAGGACTGAAGTAGGAAATGGAATTGCGATTGCAGTAACTGAATTCATTTCCCAAGGATGAAAACACAGCCCATGCTGAGGGTGCCTGGGTCTTTAACCTCATCCCTCCTTTATAACCAGACCTTGAGGGAGGAAAAAGTTCCCTGGGACTGGTCTCTGAAGGATTGGCCTGGTGGTCACTGGTCAGTGCTGAGCCACAGCCACCAAACCCAAAGTGCCACCACCAAATGGGGCAGGGGAAGGTGCCCAGGCCCCTGGTCACAGCCACAACCCAGGCAGAAGGATTTTTAAATGTAGAGTCTGATGAAAGAATAGAGATGGAAGCAAGTTTTGATATAAAAGAAAAAATTTCTGAGCCAGTCTTACTGGCTAAACAAGGAGGCAAAAGGTGTGTTAATTAGAAGGGGCTTTTATGACTTAGAGCAAAGGATAAACCCACCTCAAAGAACAAGATGTTTTTACCAAGCAGAATGAGAGCACAGGCAAACAAGTCAGCAAAGTTACTAGTAGAAAAAAGGTCTCAGAATTTTCCACTGCAAGACAACTGAAAAACAACTTCTAGCTTAAGCTGTAATGTACTAACTTCTAGTGATTATAGTAACATGAATATGGTAATTATAATAGTTATGATAGGCTATAGATAATAATTAAGGTATAGATTGGTTCTGCTGTATGAAGATGCTCAGCAAAGAAAAGTATAAAATGCATTGTAACCAAAACCAAAGGGTCTCCAGGCCTGCCTGCAGCTGGAGCTGACAGCTGTAGGCACAGGCTCTGTCACCCATGACGCTGGACTTCTGTAACCTCTTGGATGGAATAAACTGCATTTTGTATACAATAAACTGCATTTTGAAGAGCAGCCAGGAGTCTCACATCTCTCATTCAGGCTCTTACATGCTCCCCTGTCTATCTACAGGCCTGCTGAATCTCCAGAACCCCCAGGAGAGCTCACTGGGCTGTAAATCCATCCCAACGCTCAGGATGTGGTCCCAAACCCCAGGAGGGTGGATTCCCTGCCCTGCTGCTTCTCCCTCATGTTCAGAAACATCTCCCCCCTCCCTCACTCTGATCACCAGAGAACAAAAGGCAAAGCTTCCTCTGCTTTCCTTCCAACTCCTCCTTAGGACAGAGCAGAGCCTCCTCCCCGAAGTTCCTGGCACATGGTGGGCTGATGTTCCTGGAGACAGGCATGCTCTTCATGCCCTTCCTGCTCTGTCCTTATCTCCTGATCTCCCGGTGCCATAAAGCAGAGAATTCATTTTCTGAGTGCTTGGCGCACCCACGTTCCCCACAGGAAAGGGGATTCTCGTGTCTGTTCAACAGGATGGAATAGATATTCCACAGGCACAGGAATGATCCAGCTGCTCCAGGGTCACAGATTGAAACCATCCCCTTGTGGTGTAATAAGGAGCATTAACACCTCCACAGCAAGGTCACACCTCTTCCCTCTGTTAATTAATCAGTACAATTAAGCAGTTTGTTCGCTAATGTCAGTCCCTGAAAAGCAGGTCACTTATTAAATAAGGAGCCAGGTGGGGTCTGACATGTGCCATGGAGATCTGTCAGGATCTCTCAGGCTCAGTTTGGGCACTGTCCTGACTTATTCAGCCTGGTATTTCCCTTCAGAGATAGGATGCAATGCTGGGGAGGAGGAATTAGCCAGTCTTGAAGGTCTCAACCACACAGGAGCCAAGTCTGTAGAAGGACCCCTATGGACAGATTTTAAATCAGAGTGCAGGAGTTGCTTCAAATAATGGAATGGTTTGGGTTGGAAGGGAATTTAAAGCCCATCCAGTCCCAGCCCCTGCCATGGGCAGGGACATCTTTCACTGTCCCAGGGTGCTCCAAGCCCTGTCCAGCCTGGCCTTGGACACTTCCAGGGATCCAGGGGCAGCCACAGCTTCTGTGGGCACCCTGAGGGCCTCAGCACCCTCACAGGGAGAAATTCCTTCCCAATATTCCATCTTAATAAGAAAGGTGGGATTAGCTTTGGCAAGACAGATCAGGTCTAGACCAGGTCTAGGAGGGAGAAACAATTTTCTTGTCAGGGCTGGGGCTCCCATGGGGCTGGGATTCTTTGGGCTGCAAGTGGGCTCTCTAGGGAAATCTTCCACCAGGACTCAGACAGCCCCTGCTGAGAGCAGAGTCTATGACAGCATTCATCATTTCCTGAAATGGGAACAAGAATTAAAACTCTCCTTTGGTTGGATGACTCCCTCTCTGAGCTCCATTAACTTTATTGACTCAACTCCAGAGAGTGCCAAGGGAGAGAAGTTCTCCTGGAGGCACCTTAAACACCATCCAATGCCATGGGCAGGGACACCCTCCACTGTCCCAGGGGGCTCCAAGCTCTGTCCAACCTGGCCTTGGACACTTCCAGGGATCCAGGGGCAGCCACAGCTGCTCTGGGCACCCTGTGCCAGGGCCTCAGCACCCTCACAGGGAAGAATTCCTTCCCAATATCCCATCTAACCCTGCCCTCTGGAAGTGGGAAGACATTCCCCTTGTTTGGGCATCCCAGAGCTTTGGAAATATTCTCTTTCCATGTTTCCTGTTGTCTCCTTCCGGTACTGGAAAGCCACCATTAGGTCACCCAGAGCTTCTCTCCTCCAGGTGAACACTCCCAGCTGTGCCAGCCTTTCCTCCCAGCAGAGCTGCTCCATCCCTCTTCTCACCCTGGTGCCTCCTCTGGGCTCTCTCCAGCAGCTCCCCACCCAAGGATGCCAATGATGTGTCCCAGAGAATTCCACCTGGAGGCTCCAGGCACAGCAGGACCCAGCTCCTGTCCCCACCCAGGCTGCGTGTGACCACCTGGGCTGCAGAGCAGCTCCTTTCCCCTGGAGAACTTTCCTTCTTCCACAACACACC